AATTGTAGTAATATTTCACAATATTACTGTTTTTACTGTGTTTTGATCAAATGAATGCAGTGTGCACAAGAGACTTCTTTCAAAAAACATTGAAAAAAATCTTAATTATTCCGAACGTTATACCACTTTACCTAAACTTACCCTACTGGGTTAAAGTCCATTAAAACATTAGTCCTAATAGTATTTCGTAGCCCTAATAGTTATTCAGGTCATGTAGAAAATGGCTGGAAAATCACTCTGGTTCTGGTTAATGTTGTGGGTTGATTCTCCGTGACTTTGATCAGGGCACCTGCCGAGTTCCACGCTTAGAGAAAACATTCGGTTTGAGAGTTGCAGAGATGAGTGTCTGCCATCAGTGCCTCAAGAAGAACTTCAAACTGATAAGCCACAGTCTAAGCTGTCAAACCTGTATAAAAAGATGGGAATTTGTTTGCAATTTGGGTGCTTTCTGTAGCCTACATTAAATCTCTATCTCTCTCTCTCTCCCCTCTTTATTTATCTGCATAAGTGACTGTGCTGACATTAGCTACAAAGTACAAATTCCAAACAAAACAAATGAACAGGCAAATTGACCTTATGTTACTGCGGTTTCAACAGCTATGAATCGTAAAAATGTTGGTCTTCACCTTTTTTTTTTTTTTTTTCAGCCCTGAGTGGAAAAATGAAAACTGTATGCATGACCGTATTCTATAAACATAAATGAAGGTTCATGCTCAGGAAAGCCAGACATGTGCTCTGGATATTCACAAGACGCACTTCAGATATTGCTGCTCAGCATATTTCATTATAAACACAGCATGACTCAAGAATGAGCTTGACTTCACATGTTTATTTTTCAAAATGCAGCTATATGCACAGTTCATATGTATATGTCACATACATGCTTAACTGATTATATCTTGAATCGTGGCTTAAAATGCTAACATGTCTATACATCCTGATAAAGTACATTACAGATAATTAATAAAATTAAAATCCGCTACAAATGCTAATTTATAACAAAACAGACATTTGTGTGAGTTCTAAAATAAAGCAGAAAAAAAAGAGAAGGCAAGGTTGCGACAGCGGAGATACATTTAGACATTGTGATTGATGCTTGATTGACACATGTCTCTCTCACCGCTAATATGCAAGTGACAAGTGATGTGACATGTGGCCAAGTATGGTGACCCATACTCGGAATTAGTGCTCTGCATTTATCCCATCCTAAGTGCGGCGCCCGGGGAGCAGTTGGGGGTTCGGTGCCTTGCTCAAGGGCACCTCAGTCATGGTATTGAAGGTGGTGGACATTCACTCCCCCCACTGCCAATCCCTGCTGGTACGAGACTCGAACCCGCAACTTTCGGGTTACGAGTCCGACTCTCAAACCATTAGGCCACGACTTCCCACAATAGGGAACGACTTGCACACAGATGCTCCACACACATGCTTTACTAAAGGTGGCGTAAAATGATGCAATGGAAACGTGAATGCGAGGGGTCGATAAACTCCCTAATAATCCACTCAATGACAAAAATGTCAGTCAAAGGGAAACACTCTATGCCTAAGGTCACTCGAAATGAATTTAAATGCTAACATGCGTTTAAAAACACAGTGGGTTTTGGGAACTCCTATATTGTCTAGAGAAAACCCCCAAGAAAATAAACTTTTCTTAAGGCGGATTAATGCGTCTGCACCCGCCGAGTGGACCGCCCCGGGATTATGCAATGCTAATTGTTAAATGTCTCAAATATTAAAGCAAAATCTACAAAACTGAGTAAAATGCCATTTCCGCTCATGTAACGTAGTTTTTAATTTTATTCTGTTCGACTACAGTCTAGAAATACACTGTCTTTAGTATATTATGATATGATATTATGTTATATTATATTAACTAACTAATAGTTATATTATATTTACTAACTGAGACTTGTTATAGCCCTTGCATAGCATTGCTCTTTTGTTGATTTTGATTGCTTCCATTGTCCTCATTTGTAAGTCGCTTTGGATAAAAGCGTCTGCTAAATGTCTAAATGTAAATGTATATTATATATATTAAAGTTGACCAAATTAAATGCCCATTTTTTTCTGCATCAGTCCATTATCTTAAAAAAAAATGCAAGTGTAAGCCTATGTTTCTTGTGTTTTCGTGGGAGTGATGACCCGACCACCTCTACTGATATTAATGAGCCATTATCATGCAGGCAGATAACATTGTGTGTCTCTCTGCATGAGTCCACATGTCATGCATACCATTCATTAGCAAAACTAACATTGTCTAAACAGGATTTTAGTGTGATAATCATTCTGGCCTTTTCTGTATGTGAGAAGTGTAGGCTATTGGATAAACTTACATATAAACATTTAACTCGGCTACTAATTATTACATGTAGTAGCACTAAAATATTTTGCGTTTATTGTGTCTGAATTTTGAATATATTAAGCATATATTACGTCGTCCTGGTCATGTAGTCAGGCTCACGTTGAATTTGAATATGCATTGCTTTGGTTAAGTCAAGCTTTCTGTACACGTTTACATATCGAAATAAAGCGTTTTCAGCTATGAATATTTCCATTATCATTAGCCTATTATTATTATTTTAACGTCCATGAGATGGAGCTAAGTGTCGATGTGTGCACCCTCTACAATATTGAGTTGAGTGTCGTCAACATTGGCAACTCTATTTTTAGTTTGTTTTATATGCATTGATAACCCATTAAATAAACTATATTATTTTGCCTTACTTTCTGTTACAGTGCGAGGCCTATGTGTATACCTATTTGTTAAGACTTTAAACCACGGCAACCATTGCAAGCACACCATTTTTCTCCGGTCAAGTTTTTCACATTAGATTTAAACTAATATCACTTAATTACATTAGCTTAATTAGGACTATAAATAAAAGTGGACGCATGGCAACATTGAAAGCGCCCCTGAAGCGGGGCTCCTGCTGATCTGTTTTATTGCTCCAGTTTCCAGGTTGATTGCATTTGTTAATTAGTTGCTAACAGCATGGTAATGCATGCTTAATGGATAGCCGTGTGTGTCCCTGGCATTCGGCCCTGCGCTGTTCCTGGCCAGCAGTTTTCACGAGCCCTTTCTCTACGAGGAAATATATATTATGTGCATGATCATTATAATTGCAATGTATCATAAAGACGGCTCTCATCCGAAACCGCTGTAGTTTATGACTGTGTGCTGAACTTTCGGTGCACTTAATGTTCTTAATTGATTTCGCCGTTTATTTACTCCGAGTCTACAAACACAACAGGCTTCATTTAGGTAGTCATGGAATGTCTTATCTCGCGCGAGTTGAACAAAGCTTACAAGTGCCATGTTTCCATAATTTCTCTCCCCCTTTGCCCGCCCATGTCTGTTTTTCATTTAAACTTTTACTTGTCCGACCCTAGAGACATAATTATACACATTTTTCTTTCCGAAAGTCAGAGGGACTTGCAAACTGAGCCGAGTCTAATGCGGTGAAAAAACACAATTAAATGCTTGCTTAAAACATTTGGTAAACACACAGACATGCGACTAACTGTATCGTGTGGCTGTTTAGCCATGTCTAGCCTATAGGCCTATACTTTCGAGATGGTTTCATTGTAAAGTTGTAAATTACACAAAATTAGGTTTAAACCTGAAGGCCTTAATTAAGAAACTAACAAATAGACAAATGTATACTGTTCTCCAAATTTTGTTGCATAGGAAAAAACAATGGGAATTTTTTTTTAATCGCCAATAAATTTTTAGGTTTCAGGATTTTTTTATAACTAACTTTGTTTAAGGATGGTTCTCAACTATGTTATAAAATATATAACACAATGATTTGATATACCATTTTGCTTTATGCAATATGTGTGTAAAAATTCCATAAACTGGTTTTCCCATTAAGCACAATGTTATCTATACACTGTATCTAATTTGCATATTAAAGTGCTGTTGGGACAGCATGTTGAAAAAAGAAGTGTAATAATGGGAGTAGTCATTGGCCAGATTTTCATAATAATATCTAATATTTCATAAGAATATTGATATGTAATTTGTTTTCCTATTCAATTCTTTTGTCTCCCAAAATGTGTAATAAACATGCTTTTAGTCCTGGTGTCCTCTGCAGTGGACACGTATGAAATTATGTCCTGTTTCATAACAGAAGCTCATATTTTGATTTGAAACCCCATAACATTTTCCTGAGATGGTGATTTATGACAAACAATTTGAAAATGAATCAGATTTAAATAATAATTACAAAATATTATCATATTTCCATAAAGATGTAAATTTTTATCATAAATTAGTGTCAGCCATTTTTAAAAACCAAGGAGAGGGAGTGGTCATGGTGAAACAGCCAATAATTTTGCATCTCTGGAAAGCCCTGCATGTGCTCTGTACAGGACTCCAGACTTAAAACTGTGACGTGTGAGGTCTCAGAGAAATTCACTCAAATATAATGTCCACTACAGAGGCAAAAACTCCATAGCTGGGTCTCAGGAGGATATATAAACAGTTAAACATTTTTTTATTTAATTTATGTTTTATCAACATAATGTTTATTTATAAGGTAGCCTACACACATATTTATCATTATTATTATTAGGCTATCTATTATTATTATTATTATCGTCATCAAAAAAAAGTATAAAGGAAATATGACATTTATGCTTATTTACTCGCTCTCCTGTCGTTCCAAACCTGTGCAACTTTCTTCCTTGGAACAAATGAAGAGATTTTGAAGAATGAGTTGGTCATTCTTTTTCATGCCGTGTCAATGAATGGGGACGGGTTGAAATGTCGTGATCACCATAAAATATAACAAAAGCAGACAATAAAACGCATACACTTAGTAGTGGGTCTTACTTTTAATCTATAATATGGCTTCCAAAGGTGTGAAATAACCTAACACGTGATGTCTGCGTTCCTTTTTGAGACTTGATATCAAGTCAATCACCGTTTGAGGGTAAATGATGACAGCCTTATATGGGGTGCATCTTAAATCATAACTGCAAGATGAAGACGTGAACATACGGCGCATCCTTCTGAGCGCAGCATCATAGACTTCCTTCACGACGCACAATACTAGGCTACGGCACGGCCAGACAGACTGCCAGGAGGGTAGGCGGAGGCTGGAAGGGGGGACACATCTATTTTCTGTTAATAATAATAAGCAGCAAAATGAAGCGGAGAAAGATGGTGGTAGCGGCGGGCTTCTGCCTCTCGTTCTTCACGGGCACGCTGATGAATTTATTGTTCATTCCGGGATTCGAGCACCACGGCGAGAACCAGCAGCAGCCCGACGCGGACGCTCCTGCCGGGCTTCGCGTCGACGAGCTGCCACCCGTCGAAACGGCAACCGTCGGGCGACTCCCGGAGCTCCAGCGGCAAATACGCGAGCGATTGGACGAGGTTCTGCGGTACCGTCAGAAACGGGCGCACTGGGTCGGCACCGGACCGCTGGAGCGCAGGCGACTCATGGACTTGGAGCAACGCAGCGAGTGGGAAACATACAAAGGCATCGGGAAACCCAAGAATGACTATGATCAGTCTCAACCGACTCCCGCTGTATCCAAAGCAACAAAATCACACCGGGAGTTTACGCGCGAGTCGGTGCTCGGCTGCGGCAGCATTGATAACGTTACCAACGTCCAGTATCTGGGCTCAGGATACACAAAGGCGGTGTATAAAGCGACTGTGAACAGCAGCTTCTCCGTCGCATTAAAATCAGTGGATTTTGGGGGTCACGATATGGAGAACTGTGTGAAGAAATACGGGTCGTCGCCAGACTGTTACAAACTCGCATCCTTCAAAATTGTCAAGGAAATGACACTGATGGAGAGCCTGCAGCACCCTAATATTCTCAAGGTAATAAAACTGGCTATAATTTAATCAAGCAAATCTAGATCATATTAGCTCATTTGAAACCACACTTTACATTATGTGCACACTAAAACCTTTTCGTCATTATAATAACATTACTCTCTTTCCATCTGTCTAAATGGTCCCAACGATTTCTATCAGTTCTACCGAATTTTACGAGAGTTTCTTCACCAACAATTTAATTCAAAGTAGCTGAATCGGTGTAATAGCCTATGAACACATTACTTTGATTATCTACTTAAAAGGCCAAGCTAGTTTTAGGCTAAATGTTAGTGGATTACATTTTTACATTGTGTATTTACACAAGTAACATTAATAATAATAATAAAAAACATTAATGTAATGGAATTAAATGCTCACTGTTATCACAGTGCATAGGCCTAGTTATTTTTGAAGCATATGGGTAACATGAACACGCGTGCACATTATAATTGTATCAGTTAATGGACTCATTAAAGCAATTCTAAAGCAATATTTAAAGATAAAAAAGAGTATAACCCAAGTAACCCAACAGGCATTTTCCTATGTAAACCCACGTTTAATTACTGTGTGTGAATTTCATGTGTGAGTATATATACTTACGCCTGGAGCATCTAAATCAACATAAGTTCGAGGTGTGTGTGTGTGTGTGTGTGTGTGTTAGTAATTAGCCTATCATTCAATCAACAATGACTAAAAATGGCTATTGGTTCATTGTCCGCGTATTTAGTCCCCAATTTTAGGGCGCTCAGAAACGGCTGTGTTTTGCCTCGTGTGTCATTTATTTGACATGAGCGGTTGTGTAGTTGTTGAAGTCGTAATCAGCTCTTGTAAACTTAAGCGAACGAGACTCTGAAATTAACACAGTTTTCAGACAGTCCTGCGGTGTAGCCAGCCTCAGAAATTAAGCAGGTTATGTCTAAAATAAAATACATTAAATTATACCGGCAGACTTACTTAAAACTGCATTTGAATTGAATTTAATTGATGGTTTTAGTTAAATTATTGAATTTGATCTGTTTTAACGTTGAGAAAATTATTTAGTAGGCCTTTAGTTATGGGTTTAGTGCTTCCACTGACACGATGCAGCTAATATGAAGTCGATTTTGATTCATAAATAAATCAGATCAAGTTGAAATGGTAAAAATGTCCCTGAAAATCCGTTCTAAAAGGTAAATGTCACCTTTTAATAAACATGTGTTTTCTGGTAATCAGTCCAACCACTGCAGAATCCATAAATTAAAACAGTTTACATCTTGGCATTTAGTTGTGTGTAATATCTAAGAGAGTTTTGTTGATTTATCTCATAAGCTTGATAGCCTATGTGTTTGGCCTACAGTGGAACACATCCCCCACATTTTAATATGGCTACAGAGGCATGGTTTATTTAATTTCAAAAGCTGTAACCGTTGAGATCCTGTTATTGAAGGCTTTATCAGAAGCTGTATGTAGATTGGGGCCGCCGACCTGATTTCATTCTGTGTGCTCGCAGCAGGGGACCAACGGTGCAAGACCCCAGTTAATGAACTCACACAAAAGACACAGTTTATGGGCTAAAGAACATCATCAGCATTATATCTCACTGCTTACACAAAGACATAATGCTCTAAAGCGATCAAAGACAGCTGCCACAAAATGCCATCAAGTCGTTTGAAGTTAAAATTTTTAGTATCTAAAAATGAATAAAAACTTTTAAAGCATAAAACAGATTCACAATATTCACAATGCAGACTATATTCTTGGTTTGAAATTATAGCTCAACATAAAAAAAAAAAAAAAAAAAAAAAAAATATATTATAATATATATTTATTATAAGTGC